TGTCTGTATGCAGTGCCAGCTGTCCTCCAGGGTCACGGAAGGCTGTCCGTCGTGGAGAGCCTGTTTACTGCTTTGACTGTGTACCATGTGACAGTGGCAAAATTAACAATCAGACAAGTGAGCTTGAAACCAAGCAATAAATATCACAATGATTAAATGTATTTTATTAGGTCAGGTAATCAGGTAATATTTAAATACTGAATATTTTAAATGAGCTACTCTTTTTTTAACCCTTTTCCCTTTAGACTCAATAGACTGCAGATTTTGTCCCAAGGACTTCTGGTCAAACAAAGACAGAACAGCCTGCATCCCTAAGAAGGAGGAGTTCTTGGCTTATGATTCCTTGGGTATAGCCCTGACAGTGACCTCTGTGGTGGGTGCCTGCCTCACTATGACTGTCTTTGCAGTCTTTTTCTATCATAGAAACACAGCCATTGTCCGTGTGAATAACTCTGAACTCAGCTTCTTCATCCTTTTTGCACTGACTCTGTGTTTCCTGTGTTCCTTGGTGTTCATTGGAGAACCAACACCTTGGTCCTGCATGCTGCGCCACACTGCCTTTAGCATTACATTTTCACTGTGTCTCTCGTGCATTCTGGGGAAGACTCTGGTGGTGTTGGCTGCTTTCACTGCCACCAGGCCAGGGGACAACATCATGAAGTGGCTGGGGCCCAAGCAGCAGAGGTTCATTATTTTCAATTGTACTCTGGTTCAGGTGGTTATCTGTGCTGCCTGGCTCATTGATGCTCCTCCTTTTCCATCCCGAAATACAAAATATGAACGCTCAAAGATCATACTGGAATGTAGTGTTGGCTCCAGCCTCGCATTCTGGTGTGTTCTGGGATATATTGGTCTACAGGCCTGTCTGTGCTTTGTATTAGCTTTTTTGGCCCGCAAGTTGCCAGGTAACTTCAACGAGGCCAAGTTCATCACTTTTACCATGTTAATCTTCTGTGCTGTGTGGCTAGCATTTATCCCTGCTTATATCAGCTCCCCTGGAAAATATGCAGATGCAGTTGAGTCATTCGCCATTCTGGCTTCCAGTTTTGGCTTGTTGGTCTGCCTGTTTACTCCAAAGTGTTACATTATTTTGATAAAGCCAGAAAAGAATACAAAACAGCACCTAATGGGAAAAGACAATAAGCATAAGTGATAAGTTGACATTTTCTTCGAGATGTGAGATTGACATTTACTGTTCAATGTCATTTAAAAGTAGTCTTAACAATTTATGACTTATTTCACAATTTGTATTGACTGGGCAGCGGCAATTATATGCAACTGATATTTCAGCTTTGCAAGTGAAGTACAGTGTAGAAAGCATTAAATAAGTTTAATCAGAAAAAGCTTATAAGCTTAATCTATATTTCGAAGAAACAATGATTTTACTTTGGGAACCAGCTAGACAAGTATGTTCAGTTATTACATAAGTATCCTGTAGATAAACATGTATTCCAATAAATAAATAAATAAACAACATTTTTGATCATGATATGGGGATGAAATGCACGGGGGGGGCATGACACAGGGATACATGCATTAGAGAAGAAAATATGAATAATAAAAACAATAAAAAGAAGACAATGAGTAAAGGTTGGATTTTCTGAAATAGAAGTTTCAGCTGTTACATTGTATAAATGCATTTAACCATGTGGATACAACCCAAAAATTGCAAGAATCATGCAATTAAATTAGCTTATGCTGAACTTGTTCGAAACCTGCACTGACTCCTGGATGAGTAATGGACACGTGGTCCTGATGTTGAGCAGAATTAACTTGCAGGAGTGGGCTATCACAGCAATGTTGGTGGCAAAGGAGTGCTGGTCAGCTAGTGTAACATCCAAGTTATCTGCAGTTGAGGCTAAGAACACCACAGAGTTCTCAGTAGGAATGGAGTCCTGAGATGCCTTATCTGGAAGAAAGGAAAAGCTCGGCCTTGAATGCACACCTTATGAGAAGGTGGTGTGCATTCTCTCTATAACTTATAAATCATGATGATTAAAATACCTTAGTTGTTGCATCAATTAACATATTGTTCTTGCATTAAAGGTCCAGTGTGTAACATTAAGGAGGATTGATTAGCAGAAATGGAATATAATTTTCATAGATATGTTTTCATGAGTGTATTTATAACCTGAAAATGTGTTTTTGTTGTCTCATAATGAGTCATTTTTATCTACAGAGGTCCTCTTCTGTGGAAACTGCCATGTTGAACCACCATGTTTTTACAGTAGCCCGGAACGGACAAACTAAACACTGACTCTAGATAAGACCTTCACGTTTTTTGTGACCTCTCATTTTTTCTACAATGGTCCTTTAAATCATGAATGCTGTATTGTTCATTCTTGTACATTCCTGAATTAGTCCATTAATTAATTCATTATTCTTCAAGCATGAAGACGTTTACTGACCAAACTGGTTTTATCATATTAAAAAAAGAGTCACCCCACAACCTACCTTGAAGTCAATCATCACCTTTCACCGTCATCTTTTTTTCTTAAAAGTGCAGTGATGTGTGAATTTCCAGCTCACATTGGCTGATTGATGTTTCTCTTACGCTAGAAAAGCCATAAAGGTCAGCTCCCAGGTCAGAATTACCTCAGTGAAGGAGAGGGTGGCTCATGATGGGTTGGATCACTATTATCTTATTCACTCTGCTGGCAATGTCAAAGTCAGAAAACCAAACATGTAAAGTGATCGGGCAAACAGGGTTTATGGAATTTTCAAAAGAAGGTGATCTTATTATAGGAGGAGTTTTCTCTTTGAGTCGTACACGGATACTGATAGATAATGGTTACCAGGCATTTCCATATTCATACTGCAAAATGTAAGTGACTGTGCTTAAAATATGTAAAAACTGTTATGCAATGTTAAAGTAAAATTGCATGTTTTATATGCATTGCAAAATGATAATGTGTAAGTTTGTCAGTAATGTGTCGACACTGTGTATGCAGGTGGAATGACAGGGAATTGAAATTTGCCCGGACAGTGATTTTTACTGTGGATGAGATCAACAGGGATACTAAGCTCCTTCCCGGAGCGAGTCTGGGCTATAGGCTGTACAATGGCTGTGGGGAAGAAAATGTCATACGGGCAGCCGTAGAAGCTATAAATGGAGAGGACTCAAAGGGCTGCAGTGGTCGGATCCAGGCTCTCTTAGGTCATTCATCTTCTGGACTGAGTAAAGACATAAACATCATACTAAGCCCACTATCCATTCCACAGGTAAGAATAAAAGATTGGGAAATAACTGCAAATTGTTACATTTCATTGTCCTAGCTGTGTATTTATATTTCCATCTTTATAAAATATATACACATATCATATTTAACATGTTTTTTTTTTTCTTTCAAGGTTAGCCATTTTTCAACCTGTGCTTGTCTGAGTGACAAAAGACTATATCCCACATTCTTCAGAACTGTGCCAAGTGACTACTTCCAAATCCTCGGTCTGGTGCAGCTTATGAAATTCTTTGACTGGCGCTGGGTGGGGATTATTTACTCTGAAGAACTATACTCAGAGGAAGGAACAGCTGAATTCACTAAGGAAGCAATGAAAGAGGGCATCTGTATTGAATACAAAATATCTTTTTCTGAGACATCTCAAATGCTCTCAAAATTTGATGCTATTGTAGAGACAATAAGGGAATCCTCGTCAAAGGTGGTCCTGTTGTTTACGTCTTTGTCTTACATTAAATCATTCCTGTCAGATATGGAGAATTATAATATA